CGCGTCGAGCGCGCGCACGCGGTCGCCGGTGATGGCCTTGACGTCCATCGAGGTGAACACGCGCTCGCCGGCGCCCAGCACGCGCTCGACCGCGCTGAACGCGAGGCCGCCGCCGGTCGGGCCGCCGCCGGCGACGGCGACGCAGTACTCGCGGCCGCCAAGGTACTGCTCCACGAGGATGAGGCAGCCGGTGGCGGCAAACACCTGGGCGACCATGGCCTCGAGGCCGTCGATGGAGGGCACGAACTCAACGTTCTGGCTGGCGCGGCCGTTGACGGGCTTGACAATGAAGGGGCCGGAGTAGGACCCAAAGGCGCGGCGGAAGGCGCGGTTGGTCTCGGGATGCAGGCGGCCGTCTGAAAGAGAAGGCCGGAAATTGGGAGAGCGCGGGGCGGAAGCGTCAGTGGATGCGCGAGCAAAATCGTGCGGCAAAGTAATCGATTGGCGGTGGATGAAGTTGAGCACTTGTGCCGTCGCTGCAGCAGAGGCTGGGTTGAGCAAGCACGCATCCAGCCGCAGCGCATTTCAACAGCCCAGCGCCCATCAGCCATGCGTGCTGGTGAGCAAACTCACTCTTGGCAGCGTTCCAGATGACGAAGCGTGCGGTGGGCAGGCCCAGGCCCCCCAGCGCCAGCTTGAAGATGCCCTTGTCGTCCAGCAGGGCGGCGTTGAGGGGGGTGTGGCCGATGTAGGGGACGCCCGCGGACTCGAGGGCCGCGGAGGTGTGGCACACGGGGGACTCCCCCTGCACACCGCCGGTGTTGAGCCAGACCTATTTGTTTGGGCAGTGAGCGAGGCGTTGATGAGTGAGCAACGACACGGTTGTGTGACGGCGTGAGGAGGCTGAGAGGCGGAAGGGGCCGCAACGAAGCGCGCTGCCTGCAGGCAGCTGCCAAGCGGCGGGCGGGCACCCAGAACTCCCATGGGCTTAAAGTGCCTACCCAAAGGCCACTGTGCTGCTCGTCGACGGCACAAAATGCTTGGGCGCCCGCTCATCAAGGACCGAGATGTGCACATCCATAATCACGAAGCACAGTGCCCTGTAGAAGCGCCCCGCCCCTCACCAGGCCGATGCGCTCCGCCCTGAGGCGCTCAATCAGGTCTGCGCCGTCAGGCATGGCCAGCGCGTCCACCCCCAGAGTCTTGAGGGTGTCTGCGATGGTGCATGCCACCGCCTCGTACGACTTCCAGTGGCGCAGGTTCACGCTGGGCGGAGGCGTTGGGGTGGGTGGTGGGGGAAGAGAATTTCAGTTGGTGTGTGTGCTGGCAAAGAGGAAAATGTGCAGGGAAGGCGGGGCTCCAGGTGTAGGAATACGGGTCCGTTGATTAGCATTCACCCGCCGCTCGAAACCGCAGCTGCTTTCGCCGCCCAGCCACCCTGCTGTGCCGCAAACCCCGGCGGCCTGCCCACCTAGGGTGCATCACGGCGCCGGCATTGTGCTTGTTGTTGCCAAACACCACGGCGACGCGAGTGGGTACAACGTTGGCAAGCATGTTTGCTTTGTTGGCGTTCAAAGATAAGCTAACAGTTAAGTGTTTGTGACCGGCACTGGTGTGTGTGTGCGTGTGTGCGCTGTGTGTCTGCTTCTGGTGCAGTGAACAGGAGAAGGCGATTGATTGTGTTGCAGCGTTCAAGACGCTCTTATAAATGGCATGGTACTTGTCACACTAGGCCACGAAATTCGGGGAGGAGTGTGAACGTGGCAAGAGAGGGACGCGGGGTCACACTGGTCACACTTTTACGTTGGCCGCTTGATGCAGACCGATGCGACGATGTGAGCGCGACAATATACATCCATCGTCTGAATCAGCTTTAGAGACCGCGACATCAACCCAACAGTTCCGCAAAACCACCAGCATCGCGCCCGCCGCCTTGCAGCACTGCTGATCGCAACACACCCAAGCCGTGACAGTGGGCGGTGCAGACCCCGGCAGCAGCAACTTCCGCCATGATTGACCCCTCTGCGCCGTTTGTGCTGGACTGGCGCAATGCGCTGGGTCTAGCCCTCTCAGTGCTGGTCGCTTTCATCTCTGGCCCAGGTGGGTGGGCACTGAGCAGGGCCAGTGCTGCCACTGTTTAGTGCTTACTATGGCAGTGTGCAAACGAGGGCGGGACGTCAGTGGATGGGCCACGATCCGGCTGCACCGGATGTCTCACGTTGTCTGGCGGGGGTGGAGGTCGCCCGCCTGCACGAGCTTGCACGCCCGGGCCCAGCTGCAACCAGCAGTGCTGCCCTGCAGCCTCGATGCCACTCCCCGTCTCAATCATGGCCCCACCGCTTGCACCATTCAACCCCGCAGGCGGCCAGGGCGGCGGCTCCTTCTACATCCCCCTTTTCAGCGTCCTCCTCGGCTTCTCAGTCAACCAGGCGTCCGCCCTCAGCGCCGCCGTTGTGTTTTTCGGCTGCGTCACGATGGTTGCCCAGGCCGTCGCCTCGCCGCACCCGCGGCTGCCGGCGGCCCCCCAGGTCGACTACGCCTCGGCGCTGCTCATGACCCCGAGCCTCATGCTCGGCCTGGCACTCGGCGTGCTGTTCAACGCCGTTGTGAGCCAGTGGCTGCTGAACCTGTTGGTCATCAGTGTTTGGACATGGAGCAGCATACAGCTGGCGTTTACCTACCGCCGCACGCGCGCGAGGGAGGTGGCACTGCTCGCGGCCGTCAAGGCGGGCGCCCCCTCCCCAGACGCGACGACCGCCGGCAAGTCGCCGGAGGAGCGTGCCGCCGAGGCCGAGGC